TCTGGGTTTTTTTTTTTTTCTTTTTTTTTTTTTCCACTCTATCTTCTCAACTGGAACTAAGTGTGGACATTCGTGAAGGCAGAATTTATGTCTTAATTATTCACTGCCAGAGCTGCAGATGCATACTAGTTTGTACATAGGTAGTAATTTTTTTAATGTGGTTAAAAAAAAACATAAAATTCATCCTCTTAACCAACATTTACTGTATAGTTTAGCAGAACTAACTATATCACATTATTGTGCAACAGATTCTAGAACTTTTTCATCTTGCAAAACAAACCCTATCCCCAGTGAACAACAATTTTCCATTATCTCCTCGCCCCAATCCAGGTAACCACCATTTTACTCTGTTTTTCCATGGGTCTGCCTAGGGAATACCTCATACAAGGGACCCACAGTAATTGTCTTTTGTGACTAAACATTTAATTCAGTGTAATATTCTCTAGGTTCATCCATGTTACAGGACTAACAAGACTTCCTTCTTTAAGGCTCAAAAACATTCTATTCACCATATTCTGAATATGCCATGTTTTATTTATTCCATCCATCAAGGAACATGCGGGCTGCTTCTACCTCTTGGCTATTTTAAGTAGTGATGCAGTGAACGTGAGTGTACAAATACCTCTTCAAGATTACTTTTGATTCTTCGGGATATATACCCAAAAGTGGTAGGTAAATCTATTTATAATTTTTTGACTAACTTCTCTACTGTTTCCCTAATAGCTGCACCATATTACTTTTCCATCACCAGAGTACAGGTTGGTTTCCTAATTTTTTCACCATCCTTCCTTGCCAACACTTGCTATTTTCTTTTTTTTTTTTTTTTTACCAGTGGCCATCTTAATGAGTGTGAGATGGTAGACAGGTGGTATTTTAAAATATTTGATACTGTCTAGACATACAGAAGCTACACAGTTTCTAGAACAATGGGAAGAAAGACTGATAAATATGGTGTGTGTTAAACGTCTAAATGGACTTGATGCTGAAGCTGAAACTCCAATACTTTGGCCACCTGATGTGAAGAACTGACTCACTGGAAAAGACTCTGATGCTGGGAAAGAGTGAAGGCAGGAAGAGAAGAGGACGACAGAGGATGAGTTGGTGATGGACAGGGAAGCCTGACTAGCTACAGTCCATGGGGTCGCAAAGAGTCAGACATGACTGAGTGACTGAACTGAACTGAAATGTCTAGATGCCAGAACTGTTAACTCTCCTTGAGTTGGGGCCAGGAAGGATGATGGTGGAAAACAACCAAGGAAAATCTCATAGAGTAGAGTACCTAAGCTGGATCTTAAGGAATAATAGACATTCAGATTCAAAAAAAGAAAAAAAAATGAGAAGGATATTCCAAATACAAGGGATAGTATGTTCAAGCAGATATACTATGGATGGGCAAAGCTTCCCTTATGAGAGAAATGTGGTGTGAATTGAATAGCGATTTTTGTGAGAAGTTACTGAGAAATGAAGACAAAGAAGTAGACCACAGTCACTAGACCAAGAGCTTTGTAAATCACACTAAGAGGGTTAGATTGCATCTATTAAATGGCTTTAAGCAAGGAGTGCCAAGATGGCTATGCCTTCCCGAAAGTTCGATCTGGCAGTAGGGAGAAGAATGATCCAGAGGTCTGGGACTGGGCAGTTAAACCAGTTAGGAGGCTGATAAAATATTCAAAGCAAGAGATGACAGGGGCCTAAACCAAAGCAAGAACACTGGACAAAGAGAACGAGGAGAAGGATGTCAGCAGGTAGAAGACAGAACTTATTGACTGACAAGCAACGAAAAGAGGTATAAAAAGTGGAAGCAATTTATACCTACTCTTCAGGGAATAGATGAAGGAGAAGACTAGTTTCCTTTTAGACAAGTGAGTGCAGTGTCCAGTAGAGAGTGAAGTATATGAGTCTGAGACTCAGGAGAAAAACATGGATCAGGCACATATATTAAGAGTCAGCAAAATAAAAAATAGAGACTCCTACTATCTAAATACTACTCTTCACCATGCAACTCTAGTGTTTCAGTAATACTGTATGTCTTAATACAGCATATCACGTTTATAACGGAAGTTATTCTACACATTTTACAACATACTGATGGTTTTCCTTCTTAAGAAAGATTAAGTGCTCCTAGCCAAATTTCCATCACTTTCTCTTTTACAGCTTTGAGGGCCAACAGAAGAGAACATGGTTGGAAACATTATCAAGACTACCTTATAATTTAAAGTCTAAAAGAGCGCCTAGTTTATTTAGTTGAATGTCTAATATGTTATTACTTCTAAGAAAAATATTCTAAACAGAGTTCTAATAAGAACGCTTACACACTATTCAGTGGGCAGGCATGCAATTTAATTGTCTTCAGTTTCAATGTGGAATTAAACCACAAATTAGGTATCAAGGATTTAAAATGCAGCAAGTTGAGAAAATTAAACTTATATATAATCATCACTGTTTGTATCCTGCATTTCATTACCAGGATGTATAAATACAAATAATGAAGGCCTGTGGATAAATAAAACTTACAGTCTATATTCACCTACCTACTGACTGTGACACGAATATTAGAGGTTGGGAGGTAAGTGCAAAGGTCACAGTGTGACCAGCGTTCTGGGCATCCTCAGAAACATCACAATGAGTCTGCCCACAGCCACCATCTAACAGATTCCAAAGGGCTTCCTTTCCGGCATAACCCTGGACCCAGCCTTCACTCTTCACCCTACATCAGTATCTTCTCCACCAAAGTCCCAATACTCAGAAAGTGAAGTAGAAAAAGAACTTCCTTAACAATGAGGAGAGTGACAGAGACTGAAAGCTTGTGTCCTTCCCCAAAATTCATACGCTGAAGCTTAATCCCCAATGTGAGACAGTATTTGGAGTTGAGGCCTTTGGGGTGATTAGGTCATGAAGGTGGAGCCCACATGAGTGCGATCAGCTACATTATAAAAGAGGCTTTGGAGAGCCCTCCTGCTCATTCCACCATGTGAGGATACCACAGGAGGTCCATGAGCCAGGAAGGGGCCCTTACCACACTGAATCAGCGGGCACCTTGCTCGGCCTTCCCAGGCTCCCGAACAACGAGAAACACAAGTCTATTGTTTATAAGTCACTCAGTCTACAGCACTTTGTTAGAGAAGCTCAAACTGACAAAGACAGAAGGCTAGAGGTTAAGTCTGGTTAATTGCCAGAACTGGTAAATATTTCTTTCTTTAATATGCTTAGGAAAGGGAGAAGCCCTGAAGGCCCCTGGAATTAGCATCAAGCATTAGAGCACTCTGATTGTCGTGCTTAGCGGCATCTCAGGAAAGTCCTGGAGCAGAAACCATCTCAATGCACTCTGGGATCAGGCAGGTCTTCACAGAGTCCTGGCTGATCAAATCTACCACTTCAGGGGACTTCCCTGGTGGTCCAGGGGCTAAGACTCCCAATGCAGAAGACCTGGGTTCGACCTCTGGTCAGAGAACTAGATCATTTATGCAGCAAATGAGGAGCCCAAATGCAGCGATTAAGGATCCCTAATAGCTGCAACTAAGACCTTGTTATCGTTGTTTAGTCGCTCAGTCACGTCCGACTCTTTGCAACCCCATGGACGGTAACACACCAGGCTCCTTTGTTGATGGGATTTTCCAGGCAAGAATACTGGCGTGGGTTGCCATTTCCTTCTCCAGATATACCAAGTCACCTCTACTCAGAAGACAGTGGGCTCTGGCAAACTCCACTCCCTTCCGACCTGCCAGTTCGATTCTTATAGCCCGGACGTCTAAGTCCAATTCAAGTCACCATGGATGGGGTCCAGAACGCACCACGGTGGATAAACACCACGTTGTGCTGCAGACATGTAAGAACAGGCTTTTCTTTTACCTGAAAGCAGGAGAACTAGGTAGTCATAGATCTCTTCCCTTCGTTGGTATAGGTATACCTTTTCCTTCCAACCAGGGAAGACTGACTCTTATCACTGAGAGGAGAAGCCTTCAGCTAAACAGAAACTGGCACGAAACAAGCCTGTCTCCCACCTGTTTTCCTACAGGGCCCTCACCTTTCCTGAAAGTCACTCATTTTCCATAAGTGCCTTTTCCTACTTCTTTCCCCTGTTAAGATGCCCTAACCACTTCCTGCAGTCACAGTTTTCTGTGAACTCCCACTTACTCACATAAATAAAAGTCATCCTTTGTCAGTTTAATTTGCACACCTCCGGAAAACAACTTAAGAGGGTATATTAAAACACTTTGCTCTGACTCCACAGGAAAATATAAGAGTAACTGGGGGAAAGTTTGTATTATTATTTTATTTTTTTCTTGCAGTGTGTACATATAAAAAACAGGCTATTATGGACTGTTTAATTCATTTACTAAATCAAATGGCAGAGACAACTTAAGCACACAGTAAGAATAAACCTGTTTATACCATCATCCTTTGATAAAAAGGTTCAGAAACGGCATGCTAGAAAAACAGAAGTGCAACAAAATTGCAGACAATAAACTGATCACAAACCTACCCTGGTACAGCCCAAATCAATCGATCAATCACTCTACCAGGTGAGTCAGCTGGACTCTGCCTTCTGTTTTGCTCCCAATAACCCACACAACAGGGCAAGGAACACCTTCATCCCTACCAACCACTCATCTATTCAGCAAGGCACACACTCCCCTGAACCTCCAGACAAGTACAGATGGGTATTCCCGATATTTCTTCCAATATTCCTCCTTCCCTGCTTTTTGGGCTCCCCTGGTGGCTCAGATAGTAAGGCATCTGCCTGCAATGTGGGAGACCTGGGTTCAATCCCTGGGTTGGAAGATCCCCTGGAGAAGTCCATGGCAACCCACTCCAGTATTCTTGCCTGGAGAATCCCATGGACAGAGGAGCCTGACAGGCTACAGTCCACGGGATTGGAAGAGCCGGACACAACTCAGCGACTAAACCACCACCACAATGAACATAAACCGTCATAATAAAAACACGAAATAAGTTATTTGAAAACTAAGTTTTACACCAGTTAAGAGAAACACACAGTTATTTTTTTAAAGACAATATAAACAAACGTAAGATAACTTCACTTACTTTCTGCTCAGGGTTCTCCTGAAACACAAGTCCAAAGTAGTCCTTCTCCAAGAGATTGAGATGTTCACACACTTTGTCGAATAACACTTGCCCCTTAGCACGTTTCTGAGGAAAAAGAATAACATCTTTACTTTTCAAGCACTAAAGGTCCATGAGTGCTATAAATCAAGGACATATCAGATAAAATTACTTAGCATAAATTAATATGAAATATTTATTTTCCAATCCTCTATTAAAACAATACCCAAAAACGATTCATAACTTTTTCATTTTAAACTCCCCACTCCCAAACAAAACATAAATTCCAAACGAAAGTATGATTAGCCAGATGGCCTAGGCTTTACTACTACTCCATGTTAATATTTCAAAAGCCAAAAAAAGTAAAATGCTTAGAGAGTTCACTTATTTGTTTTTAAAGTAATACAAAAGTATGTCAAAGCTGCCCCCCACCCCCAGTTCCTCAAAGTGGCTCATGTACACTCTCCCCAGGAAAATTATTAAGCTCCACGTACCCTAACACAAATATCATCCCATCACAATGATTTTTATTCCAGAGTGTCTGTAGAGTAGAAATTATGTTTTTCAATATAAAGTTACACTTTTTCTGGAGGATCATATGGCATTCACTCCTTAGAACAAATCTCAAAAATAGAAGAGAATGAAGCTGACACAGTAAATCAGCTGCCTCCAAGGATCAACAGAGATATAAAAGCCTATGACAGCTTCAGAAGAAAAATTCACTGTTTAATCAATGCCAAAACATAAAGTGGTGACTCCAATTAAAAGGCACAGCCCTGGGAACCACCAAGTGCAGAGCTGGGTCAGACACACCCCTCCTTCCCCTGCATGGATATAAACAACCCCTGGACCGCAAGTGAGACGGGAACAAGCCAGAAGACAGACACGTTCATCCTCGAGACAAATGCCTCACACTACTGAAATGTCTACTAGTTAGCTCATCCAGCGTGTGAAAATGAATGCTTGCCACACAGACATCTTTAAAAATGGAGTAAGACATAAAAGACATTTCAATTTCAAATTGCGACGACTCTGATAAGGGTTTTCAGAAGATAAAGTCTTCACGGAAACTTGATTCAAGTGTGTGTTTCTGTCCTGCCTGGGGAAGCAGAGGTAAGAAATCCATGCCTGCAACACTGCAACCTTGATTATCAAATTTTCATAGTTAAACACTTCTTTTTTAGGAAAAGAATTACGTTAAATAGTAGAGGGAAGAGGGAGAAAAGCCACAGAGATTACATGATTTCAACATTACAAGCAGTGTGCTATCCACCTTGCTACAGATTCAAACAATGATAAAGTATACATGAAACAGATAAGTGTTTACACATCCACACATTTAAAGCACACACAGATATAGTGTAATAAATGGGAGTATTGGGCTCCAGATTCCAAATTCCAAAGTTCGAAATGCCTTTCCACTATTTACAATCTATGTGACCAGGGGCAAGACACTTAAGTTCTCTTTGCCTGAATTTGTACATCTATTAAAAGATAATAGAATCTACCATACAGGAGGTGGTTAAGTGCTAAATGACTTATATAATATACACATGATGAGAGCTTAGAACAGTGTGTGGATAGTGAGGGCTTATTCAATATTGGCTGTTATTAAAAGCTGGAGAGTTTTAAAACATGAAAAATAACTCATTTCACTTACATGAAATTTAGCATTAAGCTTCTAAAATGAAAGTTTCTGAATTTCATTATCTGCAAGCCATTATTAATCTAAATAATTAAGACTCTGAGTTTGAAGGTATTTTAATTGACTTTATAAGGAGAAGGTGACTCATATCATGATAGTTACTTTTTTAAATGTGCAGTAAAATCCATTATCTCTTCTTCATAAGTGCCTGGAATAGATATGAGACTTGGCTGCAAACAACAGTGAAAAATATTTTAAGGTAATCAATAATCTAAGATAGAATTCAATTTCTCTGACATTAATTTCAACAATATTGTTCAGTCTCTAGAGAGAAGAAGATTGCCCAGCATAATAGATGCTTGTTGAATCAAATGAAAATACAATAATACAGTGTACTCTATGTGACATACTTATTTTAAATGTAGTGACAGCTACCACTCAGGCTCACAGTGACTGACCACAGTTGTATTGATAATTTCAGTGACTACTTCGTAATTAGGAATTGTTCTTATCTAAGATAGTAAAGGGGGAAAACTCCTGCAGCTCTTGCCACATCTGTCTACTTGTTCATCACACACTAAGCACTTATAAGGAGGGATAAAATAGGTCACAGAAGATTTCATCTACTATAAAGAAGAGATGATCTTATTTAGAAATGATACTAAGAACTCAATGGATGCTTATATAGGCAGTCGGCCTTTAATCAGATATAGTTTCCAAGCAAAGGTGTTACTTCTAGGAAACCTCTGACAGAATGACAGCTACTTTCAAATAAGCTGACTACTGAAACGGATTAGCCCTAAAAAATCATGGTGAAATGTGACAGCCTCAAAGGAGATTCATGCTACTTTATTTGGTTGGAATGGTATTTGAAATTAGGGTAAAATGGATAGCTAAGAGAACTGACGTCTATAAATATGAACACATAGCTCAGTTCAAAGAGAAAAACACGCTCCAACACTGCCTTACCATCAGTTTTTATTAATAAATCACACTTCCTCACTGCTTTCCATTTCAAAGATAGAAACATGCTCTCATGGACAGAATTCCCCTAAAAGATTCAGAGCAAAGTATCCACACAGCTCACTGCCGCAGCCTGGCGCTGGTTCTCGGGGCAGCACCAGGAGGCATTCACACGGGGGTCGGAGTCAGACCCCGTCCCTCCCTTGTTCAGCTTTCTGTAAGCACTTTACTATTATTGGACAAGTCTAACAATGGATGAACCACTTCGTCTCCTTAACTGTAAGATGAGACAGCAGCTCTCTCACAGCTCACTGTGAGGGTCAAATAAACCCAGGAAGATAGTGTATATTACAGTGCCAAACCAAGTGCCTCACCCAATCACAGTTGAATTCTATTCCCAACTCTTTCACTAGCCCACATCCAACACCAAAATATCTTCTAGATGCTCAGATTGCTTCTCCACAATTCTCTCCTTCCCTTCTCCAGGAAATAGATATTTTAAATGCTCGATAAGATCTTAATTGCACACAAGTATTACTTAAGCTTTCATTCAGCATCTCCACCCTCAAGGAACTTAACTGGTTGGGAAGACAAAAAAGCAGTAAAGCCAACAGGCATGTGCTGAAAGATGCAAATACAAAAGTGCATGGGAGAAGCACCAAGAATGGAATGAGCAAAAGCGGCTGAGAAATATCATAACCTCACCATGGTTGTGGCATCTGAAATGACTCTTAAGGAAATGGAAAATAAATGATTCTCATAGATAAAATCCCAACAAGTATAATCAAAAAGATTAAAGACACATAAGGAAACCAGCTACTATTATTGAGCCTTAGATATGTTATCAGTCAGAAATTCAGAGATAGGAGACAACGGAATTATTAAGTATAGAGTATAAAATTAGCATTTTTATATGTTTAAAGAAATAGATATTTTAAAATATCAAGGAAAAAGTAACTATCAAAAAGCAGGACTTCTGAAAAGAACCAATTAGAACATTTATAAATAAAACTAATTAAATTATAATCCAAATGGACATGGGTTGATACAGTTAAAAGGTGGAAAATAGATCTGAAAAAACGACTCAAAATGAAACACAGACAGATAAAGACTATGAAAGAATTTCAGACCTGTAAGCTACAAGAGGGGATCTATTCTATACATACCTTCCCAGAATTCTAGATGAAGACAGTAAAATAAGAAAGAGGCACTATTAAAAGAGTAATGGCTGATCAATGCTAAAACTCTCAAACTAAGTAAACCCAGTGGATCTCTAGTCAGATAAAATAAAACCCATTAACCTACAATCACTTTATTCCATTAATTATTTATACACATTAACATTCAAAATATTTTGACGTGTTTTTAAGAAAAAAATAGATACTACAAAGTCATCAAGACAAGAGAGGAAGAAACAGGAGCTGGGGAATAAGGAGTAGAGAAAGAAAACTTATAGAAAACTCAAGAAGTTACTCTTAAAACACCTAAAACTGATCTGCCTTGGAAGCTAATTAAAAAAGGCAAACGAATTAGCATATTTCTTCTAATTTCATAAAGAACACATACCAAATTATCAGAGACATAGTAAATGATACATATTTACCATACCAAGTTATCACATTTCATAAATATTAATCTATAATCAACCTTGCCTGAGTGTGCTCTGACAGCAACGTGACCCAGTGGCTCACCACTTCTTTTTTGCCTTCATGCTGTTCACAACTCACTCCATAAGTAATAATCCTCATCGTTTGGAGGAGAGGAATCAAGATATACTTCATAATACAAGTACATAAAAATGTTGAGGGTGGGATTCCCTGGGGGTCCAGGAACGGTTAGGAATCCACGCTTCCATTGGAGGAGGCAAGGGTTTGATCCCTGGTCTGGGCAACTAAGATCCCGCATACCACGTAGTGTAACCCAAAAAAAAAAAAAAAACTGTGTGGGGGACATGCAAAGTGAAATTGTTCCTTCTCCCCTCCTAGATTCTGGCATGTGCCACCACTCATGTGAATCATCGATCTCAACAATATGCTAGTAAGAGCATCACTACCAGAGCAGAATGGGACATGGATTTGAACACCAGCCCTACCTCTTAATCACTGTGTAACCTCAGGCATGTCTTGAGTCACCTTATGATGGTGATCAAAAAGTTAAATGAAATAAAGTACTTAATAAAATATTTGGCACATTATGTGAATGCATTAAAAGGCAGCTGAGAGCACAGAAACTTTCTGAACGATTCTAAAATAATAACTGACTTTAAATATCATTGTAAGGAGCTTTCAGTTACTACACTCAATCTCATTTCACAATGAGAAAACTGAGGTTATAGAGAGTTTAACTGATCTAACTTTTTCAGTCTGATTTCCTGAATTTCTTTTAAAGAACTGAATTCTTATTTGCGATGTCCATAAACATTAGTTTGTCCATACAAACTACATTTGTATCCAGGAAGGCAATTTTCTCATTATCATTGTTTTGATTTTTCTATAAACAACTTGAATTGTGGTGT